CAAGTTACATAGTATTTTTTTAAATTGTTGCCCTCATTATTTCTCAATGCTCCTGAGTATTCAATTTAGTACTCCTGTGTATTCCATTGTTTGAATGTATCACAGTTTCTCAATCCATTCAGTTGTGGTTTGACATTTCAGCTGTTTCTATGTTCCTGAGATGGTGAATAATGCTGATATGAACATTGGTGTACTAATCTTTGTTTGTGTCCCAGTTCTAATTTCCTTGTGGTATATTTCTAGTAGTGGAATATCTGAGTCATATGGAGTCTCTGTGTGCAATTATTTTTCTTAAACAAGGCTTTCCCCCTTCCCCCGCCCCTTGTATATTACCGAGTTAGATCAGACTGGCACAAGAGGAGATTGCCCCTCCTTCTCCAGTGGAGCAGCTGGTGGATTCTGTGTGCCTTTGGGATTGCAGTTCAGCTTCTTGCCACTAGGCCACCAGAGCTCACTTTATGTTCAACTTTTTGAGGAAATACCAAACTCTCTTCCGGAATGGTTGCACCATTTTACATCCCACCAACCATGTATGAGAGTTCTTGCCTCTCCACTTCCTTTCCAACACTTATTGCTTGCTGCTCTACTAAATGTTATGAAATGTTACCACTGCTACTAGGGTAAGATGGTATCTCATTGTGGTTTTGATTTGCATCTCTCTGATTGCCAGTGATTTTGAGCATTTCTTCAGGTGTCTGTTGGCCATTTCAATATCTTCCTCTGTAAAAAGTCTTTCCATGTCTTTTGCCCATTTTGTAATTGAGTTGTCAGTCTTTTTCTTGTGGAGGTTCAGGAGGATTTTGTAAACTTTCATTATGAGAACCTTGTATGAGAAGAGATTGCTAAATGTTTGTTCTCTGTCGGTAGGTTTTCTTTTCACTCTGTTGGAAAAAGGTTTTGATGAACACAGAGATTTAATCTTTAGAAAGTCCATTCATCAATTTTATCCTCTTCAGCTTGTACATTTCTGGCTATATTTGGTAGTCTCTTTATACCATAGGTTAGGCCTTCTAAAATTGGTTCCACTTTGTCTCTTAAGAATTTTATGGTTTTGGGCTTTATTCTCAGGTGTCTGATCTACCTTGAGTTGATTTTTGTGTATGGTGTGAGATGTGGATCCTGCTTCAGCTTTCTGCAAGTAGCAGTCCAGTTTGTCACCACCATATGTTGTCATTTCCACATTTGATGAGTTTTATTTCCTTTTTGACTATCAGCAGACCATAGATGGATGAGTTAGTTTCTGGATTCTCGATTCTTTTCCTTTGATTGATGTGTAAGTCATTGTACCAGTACCATGTTATTTTGGTTACTACTGTCGTGTAGTATATTTTGAGGTCAGGGAGTGCTATGCCTCCCATTTCGTTTTTGTTTTTCAAAAGTGCTTTGCTTATTTGGGGTCTCTTTCCTCTCTAAATAAAGTTGACAATTTCCCTTTTGATCTCCTTGGAAAATGAATTTTGTATCTGGATTGGGGTTACATTGAACATGTAGATTGCATTTAGTAGGATTGTAATTTTCACACTACTGAGTCTTCCTATGCATAAAGATTTCTTCTTCCTTGTTTCTTACCTTTGCATTACGGTCAGCAATTACCATTAATGGATACTGATTGCATGTTTGGTCAATTTCCATGACTATGCTCTTAAAATAAGAGACACGGGAAGCAAGGGGTGATGTTGGTTTAAAAAGTCCATTTCCTAGCTGATACACAGGAAAATAAACAGATCAGAGCTCACATTTGTCACTCATAGGGTAACTATGGGCTGTATTGAACCCAGTGGCATCTAACAAAACAATAAGAAATCTACCATGGATGTTGATTATCGCAAATTTCAATCTTTTCTCCATGTATCAGGATGTTCCACATGGGTCCATTAATGAGAATTATTTTTTCTTGAAAGATGATATAGATAGATAGATAGAGATAGAGATAGATAGATATAGATATAGATATAGATAGAGATAGAGATAGAGATAGAGATAGAGATAGAGATAGAGATAGAGATAGGGATAGGGATAGATGAGATAGAGATAGATGATATAGATATAGATATAGATATAGATATAGATATAGATATTCTCAACGATGACATAGAGAGAGCTATGTTGGCCTAGTGGAAAGTTATGCTACCAAGCCTAATCTGCAGCCCTCAGGCCAGGTTCAAATTGTTTTCCTGTCAAGCATTCTTCTAGGTGGTACAGCACTGGTCTGTGCATTGCTGTACAGAGGTAATTCATGGTCCCGTGATGCTGAACACTGGGACACGGATGTGCCAAACGTGTTAATGGTTGCCCATGATGGACAGTGTTGGCTGGAGCTTCCCGACTAAAACAAGCCTGGAAGCAGGAGCAGCATCCACGCCCGAAATGGCTTGCCTCCGGAAACTCTATGTACAAACAGTGCTCAGGCCTTTCATTCATAGGGTCGCTATGAGTTGTGTACGACTCAATGGCACCTAACAACAACAACATATATAATATATATTTTATATACATATCACACTGGATTAATGTCCATACTCAGTGGACTCTAGAGAAATACTAATAAAAAAATACTAGTAGATGCTTCTTGTTGTTGTTGTTATGTGCTGTCAAGTCGCTTGCGACTCATAGCGACCCTATGGACAACAACCCTAAACTCTGCTCTGTCCTGTGCCAATCGCACTGTCTCTGACACTCCCATCCCAATTATCCCAATCACTAAATCAATCCACCTCATAGAGGGCTTTCCT